TTTAAATATTGCACTCCTATATATAGCCTCTTATGAATTTGTCATAAATCAAGATTATAAACTATTCTATATTTTTTTAAATTATGAAAATATAATTAAAAAAAAAAAAATAATATATATATATATATATATATAAAAATCTATACATTTATATATAATAGTAATATATATATAATATGTAATTAATGTATTGTATGTAATAAATGTATATTAATGAATTATTTTATCAATAAGCATTTAAAATTATTAAATTATTAAAATTATAAAATAAAAAATTTTAAACTTCATTTTATGAGTTTTTAAACTTAAATAATAAAATATTTGCAGACATAAATTCATATAAATATTTCATAAATTTCAAAATTCTAATATATTTTTTTATATATATATATAATAATAATAATAATTATAATAAAAACTTTTTCATTTTGTTTTTTTATTTGCATATTATTTAACGAATATCATATCAATATTGAATTAAGTTTTGTATATTTATTTTAGAAGTAGGAAATCAATACATATAGAAATGATCACGAATATAAGAAACTCACCCAAAATAGCAGCACCACTGTTCTCCTCACTTGATTCTGCTAAATGTTCCACTTGATGATTCACGTTCGAATCTTCCGTACTCGAAATTGTACTAGCTGGTGTACTACCTTCACGTTGTTGATCAGTCTCGCTATCCGAATGTCGACGCTCTCCATTTTGCACTATTCCATTTACTTTAAGTTCTTGAGATTGTTGTTGTTGTTGTTGTTGAACTGATTTGGATCCTTTATTATTATTTTGTTGTTGTTGTTGTGATTGTTGTTGAGATGATGGCTGCTGCGGGTGTTGCGGTTGTGATTGTTGTTGTTCCGACTTACACTTACTACCCAATTTTTGTAATACATCACTATTCGATTCGGAGGAAAAATTTCTAATATCCTTTTGTCCATTAATTTGTGATTGTACATTATTTTGCGTACCAAGAGAACTAGATTCTGATCGAGAAGTTATCCGTGTACTATGTTTTTCTTTGTTCTGACAATTTTTATGTTTATTCCGCGCTGCCTGAGCTTTACTTTCACTATTACTTTTCCCTCTCCGTATATTCATATTTTCACCTTTATTATTATTGTTTTGTTGTTGTGTTGAACCACCAGATGATACATGACTCTGTTGATTTGTTGTACCACTTCCATTCGTGATGTTATTTTGTTGTAATATTGCTTGTGATGGCGGTGATAATTCTTTACAATTTGTTTGTGAACCTATAAATATAAAAATAAACTAATTAATAGTCTACATACAATTTTATTGTTTTTATATATATATCTGTAAAAAGAAAAACTTACTATTTGTCTGTCCAGTTTGCAACGATGGCCAAGCTTCTTTGGCTTGAGAATTTGAAGTTCCATTCTCTCTAACAATACTGCCTGTCACTGATGGTGATGGTATTGGTTTTCTGTACAATAATAATTATCATTTGAATTAATTACTTTTAATAATTTTCTTTAAAATATAATTAAATAATTGAAGATATACATTATAAATTACCGTTGTGCAGATGCATGTGATGCGTGTAACGATTGCACAAGTTTTCGTTCATATTCTTGATGTTTGCCTTGATGCATCTCTTCCTTCGTAAATGATGCCTCCTGGTCCCCAAGATCATGTAAATACATACAATCCGGTTTTGGACAAGGCTGATTACGCATAAAATGTGAACAATACTTTGTTGTTCCTAATGACGTTTTAATTGTTCGCCCGTCCATGACAACATTATTCACAGCCTCTATAGCACGTAGTGCATCCTCTTGACGCTAATAATGAATTTTGAAATATAATATATTTAAAAGTATTTAAATAATAAATAACTTATAAATAAGTGTATAACTTACTTGATAAGTAACGTAAGCCGAAGCACTAGGACCTTGAGACCCTGCGTAGGAAGTGCTTTGATTTATTACAACTTTGTGAATTTTGCCAAATTTTCCAAAATATTCATGCCGTTTTAGTATCTAAAAATTTATTATTATTATAAAAATATATTTTCTTTAAAATATTTTATCTTATTCATATGTGTTTCTACTTACATCAGCATCCGCAAGTCTCAAGGGTAATCCTACTACAAATACTAGATTTTTTTGTACTACTCTCACATTTGCTAGATGTTTACGATTTTCTGTAACCCTTTGCTTACGTTGCTGATCTTTTAATCTTTTTTCTGCTTTTAATCTAATAATATATAAATATATTATTAATATAAATATATAAATATTTAAATATATATATATGTAATTGATACACATAAAAAATATTATAAAATAAATATTACATACCTTGCTATTTCTTCCATACTAAGTGGTTTAAAATCGGCAGGATTTTCAGAATAGGCCTTCCGACAGGCAGGGCATAAACCATTTTCATCTGTACGAATTCTGTGCCAGCAAAATCGACATATTTGATATCCACAAGTGCATGGAAAGAAGTTCAAATCATCCACTTCCAGTGGTTCCATACACAAAGGACATTCCACTGCATCTTCCCCACTTTGATTCAATACTGACATTTTTGTTTCTAGTTTTTATATCACACAATATAGTAAATTACGAAGATTTTTTTATTTGTAAATCCTGTACATAAATAAGAAACATTTTGTTTTACACAAACCATCAATTATTCAAATTTTTAATTATAATGATAATATTATTAATAAAATATGCACAATAACATTAAAAATATACAGATTACATATTTTGATATAGAAATAACACAATTACTATTGTAAATTCAATATACATACGTGCAAAGTCTCCACAATGCCTTGGTACTATGTAATTGACTGTACTTGCAACTTCTTATACACTAATATCCTTGCACAATCTGAAACAAATAATTAGATATTAAAATATTGTACAGTAAAAATGTTATGAGTCAGACGTGTCATTGAGTACTAGCAGCCGTTTTCGTGTAATTCCACGTCAATTCACAAAAGAGACATCGCAACGTACATCGTGACAAAATTTTTTAAATATTTCACCGTGGAAGCGTTGGGATTAACATATACCAGAAGAAATTGAAACAGAATATTTTCTCGCAGAAAATAGAATAAGAAACGGTGACTGTTTAGCTGACAGATTTAACGAACAGTTGGAAAGGAAGGTCCGTTTGACAGGAGCTGTCAGACGAACGGTAAACGAACAAATAACGCGTTGGATTTCAGACAATTAGAATAATCGTGTACGCCCTACGGTGGACGTAAAAATGACAAGTTTGTACGTGAGGTTGAGAACGACGACGAAAAACTTGCGGTAGGGCCACCGTCTGTACTCTCCCACTCACTTTCTCTCTCTCACTCACTCTTACGCTGAGACACGAACTATACGAGAGGGCGACGATCGGACGAAACAGCTGTTGGTGGCGTCGAGAGAAGCGAAGAAACGTCAGAGAGCGAGTGAGAGGTACTACGCCATAGCAGAAACCTACGTGAAAATCCGTGAAAAGTTGGAGTAGTGGGGCATGACACGTAAATTCCCCGGAGCTTCAAATACAACTATCCACATACGCAAGGACGATGGCTCGATGTTTCGCGATACGATTTTGAAGGGGGGAAAAGGCAAGCGAGAGAATGAGAAATGGAAGTAATGAAAGGAGTGGCGGAGGAAAGAGGGGGAAGAAAAGAGAGGAAGAGAAAGAGTAACAGAGAGGGCTAGGGACAAACTGAGAGAGAAAGAAATGAGCATATAAAAAGGAAGATAGCTAGAACAACGATGCCATCATTCGTTTTGTCCCTTTTTAGCCAATGGTCGTTGTCTTGATCTTGCGCGTAAAAGAAAAAGACTCTCACCAATCTCTCATATCTCCTACTTTTTGAAAAACGTAATCCCAATTCGAACAAAAACAAGTAAAGTTTCTAACTAGTTTATAGAATAAAAAACTTCAATAGCGCGATTAACATACATAACATAGTTCACGGTGAACGTCACAAAGGATTGAATGATTTGTCGTCAGAGGGGTTGCTAAATACCCTGGACTGGTTACAGGGTATACCTAGCTCATTTAACCTTAACTTCGTACAATAAAGTAACTTTTCGACAGTCCTAGAGATTTGAAAACCGCGTGTCACTGTTTTCGTCAATTCTAGAATTATGTTCACGCATTCATCAATCCAAATTTCTTGACTTTTGTTTACTTACGTTACAACTTTTCCACTAACAAATCTCTTTTCTGTACTGGGAAATTTTTGTACAGTCTTCTAGATCTGGTCGCATGCGCACCGCGACTGCGCAGAAGCGGACATTACATATATTGGTATTTAAAGAAAGGCGCATATGTAAAGCATCCTGAAAGCGCATGTCAACTAAACTTCGATTGTATTATTATCATGTGAAAATTTTTACTTTCAGTTCTTTTTTTTAATTCCAATTGGATAGATTTATATTTATGAGTAATATAATGTGGCCATTTAATGAATATTTTTACAATGTTTGAAGTCCTACTATAAATTTTTGTGATCACAGTTTGTTCGATTTCATATTTACCGCGTACTCGGAAATAATCAGTGAATGATACGACAATGATACCAATAGTTGAGAACAAATGTTCCTAATATTAGGTAAAATAGGATACATTCTTATTGGATGGATTTTATACTTTCAATTATTTAAATGAATTTAGACGTAAAATTCAAATTCTACATTTGTTGTAAATATGGGATACAATAATATTTTATCAATTTTTCATGATAATCTAAAATCAAATATTACGTTTTATTATATAACAAATTATTATAACGTATTATTATAAAACAAAATTCTAATTTTACAGGTTTTTTTTGCATTCAGTTAATTTAAAATATATTTCATCGACATTTATTTTACTTTTAATTTAATTTCTTATAAATAACGGAAGATGTCAATCAATATTTATGAATAATGTAATATACAATTCACTAATAATATAAAATTTTCAAGCAATGCATATTATATAATATTGTATTTCCCTTTTTTTTATTTTCGATTAATTACTTTATTGCACGTTTTTAATATTACCTTCATAACTTACACCAAATAATGGATGTCGAATTTTCAAATTTTTTGGGAATGGTACACTGCAGTTTTCTATTTGTATTGGTTAGTTTTTGGAATATTTGAAAGTTTTCGTCTGACTGTAATTGTGCCTGCTGGCTTCAAATTAACTATACATGAAAAATATAAAATATTAGAAAAATTGCTAATTATATTTAAAAAAAATATATATATTACCAGTTTTATATCGTGATTTTATTTTGCCAGTCTGAAGTACACATGTAATATTACATTTAACTTCTTGATTCACTGCACAATATTTTTCATCATTAATCTTAAATTTAGATTTTTCTCCAAATATTAATGTTTGACCTTTAAGTTCTCTTGGATCTATCTATATAAGTTATATAATATATATAATATTAATACATTTTACAATCATTTTTTTTCTGTATATATTTGACTTACTGTTGTAGGAATATCCATGATCCATATGTCTTCATTATCAGATAAATCATCCAAATTAAATGTAGATTCTGTATTTTCTACAATTAAGTTTTCTCCTTGTATTAAATCATTAATCTAAAATGGAATTAATAAAATAATTTTATATATAAGTTAATTTATACAAAGAATATATAGATCAAATTTTATTTACATTATGTGGTCTTATAGTAGGCGTTGCATTTATAGATAATTTGCTATGATTTGTTTCATTTAAAGAATCATTATTATCTTTATTTTGTTCTAAGTCATTTTCTACTATGATTTTTTTCAGTTTTTTTTAAAATACTTTTTCTAGATATGGGTGAAGTAATAGGTGGACTAGCAAGTTGAATTTTTGTATTAATCTTTATGGATTTTTTACTTTTTGATTGAAATATTTCACTTTCTTTTGTATCCATTAGAACCATACTTTTATTCAATTGAGTATTTAATTTAGTTAACGAATCTTCCACATCTAAATCCATTATATTATATTTAACACGATCATAAAATTTTATTTTATTTTATTTTTAGAGTTACTCTATGCAATAAAATTATTTATAGTTTTAAAATTTTTTAAACGTAATTCATTAAATTTAATATACAATTAATATACAATTTATATAATAATTGGATATATAATACTTCACTATGTTTAAAAAAATTAATATTTAATATTAAATTTTACACTACATTTACATCAATAAAATGAAAAATGAAAATTATATTTTCACATAAATATGTATAATATTCGAAATAAAATATATAATATTATTTTTTAATATATATGTTGTTAAGTAATTCGAAATATGATAATAATATCACAACAAACTCGATTAATTCATAGGTTGGAATCTACTATTATATATTTTACAATATTATGTGTAATATTCTTTTGCAATAGTTAAATACTTGACTATACTTTAAGGATATTCTTCAATGTTAATATAATGCGAAAATCAAGTACAATTTACAATTAATACACATTTTATTCACAATTTATTCATTTGAAGTTGTGTAATTTATACAATGAAATATATAATAAATTTTTTAAGATGAGTGATCAAGTTTATTACAATAATAAAATAAATATATTATTATAATAATAATTGCTCTTAAATTATTAAATAAAATATTGTTAAAATATTATTTGTTATAATTAATAAAAATTTTCATATAATTGGTGCAACAAATATAATATTTATTGTATTTAGCTAAATCAACCAATTAACGTGCAGATTGGAACGCTACTACATATAATTGGTTGATAATCACGTGCCACATATTTTAGAGTAATCAAAAAAGGCGGTTTAGATTTACTAATATCATTGATAAGTTTTAGTTAAAAATACTTATTTTTTTAGATTATTGAATTTTTTAAACAGCTATTAATTTTTCGTGCGTTAATTTTAAAATAATTATAAAACGTACAAAATGTCTACTATTAAAAATTTACGACGATCTTCTCGAATACAAGCTCGTGTGAAAGGTAAAGTATAAAAAGAATAATCACAATATATAATAATATTATTCAAAAATATATTTGTTTATAATTTTCTTTATTGTAGAAGAAAAATTAAAAAAAAATACATCATTTAGTTCTGATGAAGATATTAATGTAAATTCAATAAGTGCAATAGAAAATGAACTTAAGGATGTAGAAGAGAATATACAAAAGCCAGTTGGTAATTTTTTTTAATAATATATTTGATATTGTATTAATTTTCTTTTAATTAATTATTTTATTATTTTATTTATAGAATTATTTTCAAATGATGATATTAGCGGAGAAGCATTATTTAAATTTCAAACACCTAATAAACGAAATGCTATGACACAAAAAGCACATTTATGTCGTACACCTATTAATATTAATACATTACCTACAGTTAAAATAGTTCTTGAAAGAATAGATTTAAATTATAAAAAACAATTGAAAACTTTTAAGAAATCTCAAGAAGTTTCTAAAGGTATGATAATTTGAAATATAATTAATATTTATTAATTATATTTATATATTATATTATATATTTATATCTATATTATATAAATATGATATGTTAATTATATTTATTAATATAATATCAATGATAATAATATAATGTAATAATTTTAATGTCTAGCTTCTGTTATCTCTAAAAAAAATAGATTTGGAGTAACTTTAAGTGAAAGTGAAAGTATATCTGAAAGTGATTATATTCCCTCTGAAGATAGTGAAGATGAAACACATGAAAGTGAGAATATAGAATCTAGCGATGATGAAAAAATAAAGAAAAAATGAAATTTCAAAGATCAAAAATTATATTGCATTCAAATTTATTGAGTACACCAAAAAGAATAAGTAGGAAAAATAAGCCTTCGATTATTCATAAAGATTTTGTAAGTAAAATATAAATATAATAAAAATGTAAATTGTATAATTTATATAAAAATAATCAATGTTATTTTTATATATGTTTATAATCAAAGCATATGCAAACTGATGAATATTTTGTAACACAATCAGAAAAAGTAATTACATCTGATCGAACATTAGAATATTTACGTAATTCTCGTTTGACAAAAGAAAAATTGGAACAATTATTAGCAAATCAAAATTATGTGTCTTCACAGCATAAAAAGAATATTTATTCATTAACTAAAAATTATACAACATTATTTCCTATGTGGTATTTTATTATGGAGTAAGTATTAAAGTACATACAAAAAAATTAAAATCTATGGATTTTTTAATAAATATAATAATATTGTTTTAGACAAGGTTATACTGTATTACTTTATGGTGTGGGTTCAAAAAGATGTTTAATTAATGATTTTCATAAAAATATATCTTATCACCCATCTCTAGTAATAAATGGCTTTTTTCCTAGTTTAACTACAAAAGATGTAAGTCACAAATAGGATTAAAATATACAATATATTTAAATGATAATTAATTAATATATAATATATAATAATTAAGAATAATATGATATATATTTTTAGATACTGGATAGTATAATTACTGATCTATTGGAATTAAATTGTCCTGGTAATACAATTGAATGTATAGAACTTATTGAAAATGCTATGATGAAAAATTCACAAGATAGACTTTATCTATTAATACATAATATAGATGGTATAATGTTACGTTCTAATAAAGTTCAAGACTTATTGTCTTGTCTTGCAAGTATACCAAATATTAGAATTTTAGCATCAGTTGATCATATCAATGCCCCACTTTGTATGATCAATTTTTTATTAAATATCTGTTATATTAATTTATTGCTTGATAATTTTTATATAATTATATATTTATAGTATGGGATCATACAAAACATTCTAAATTTAATTTCTTTTGGTGGGACACAACAACATTTTTACCATATCAAGAAGAAACATCTTATGAAAGTTCACTTTTGGTTCAGCAAACTGGTGCTCTTGCTTTGTCATCTCTTCATAATGTTTTTCTTCTTTAACTTCAAATGCTAAATCAATTTATATATTACTTGCTAAATATCAATTGAGCAACAATAATAATGTTAATTTTACTGGTAATTCAAAATTTATCAAGAAAATAACACATAAAATAATATAATTTTAAATTTATTTAAAAATTTTGTTATTCTATTTTTTTTTTTTTCAATAGGAATGGCATTTAAAGATCTTTATCGAGCTGCTCGCGAAGGTTTTCTTGTAAGTTCAGATTTGGCTTTACGAGCACAATTAACTGAATTTATAGATCATAAACTGGTGAAAATAAAACGCAATATTGATAGTATTGAACACCTTATGATTCCATTAAATAATGGACTTTTAAAACAGTTTCTTGATGAACATGATGTATGATATTTTTAACAATAAATCATGGTCTCATGATTATATATATATATTAATTATTTATATTTTCTGATGCATTTTTTTTATATAATAGTTATTTAAAAATTATTTTTTTAAAAAAATAAAAAATAAAATATCTCAAAAATATAATAATGGATTATATAATTGCTACATTATATCCTTTAAAAAATATATTTAAATGTTTAATTATTATATGTTGTATCTCTATAACATCTTATTTTATTTTGATTAAATTGTATTAATAACTGTTTAATAATTATATATCGTGTATTTAATATCATATAAAAAATTTTATATATTTTTTTATGTATGAACGCATATTGCGAGTACAATAATAGTTAGAATATAGAATTATGAAAATCAAAACAATTAAGATATATTTGTAACATCACGTTGGTAACATATGTGTAACGCTAGTACTATTCAGACGCGAAGCGCCAGTGGTTGTATCGTGCATTATTTTATACTCGTGATTATGATACGATAGCCGGGTAGTGTAGAATACAGTAACAGCAATAAAATGTCAAATATGTTAGATAGTAGGCAGAATTACACGTTAGCGAAAGATTAAATGACCAAAAACTCATTGTTAACGCATATATTCTTCAATTTGATAGGTAATTACATTGTTAGCAATTACTATTTCTTCTGATTTAATGACGAATAAAATTTAAAAAAATTATCAATATCACATAAAGTTTTGCGATAGCAATAAAAATATAATTGTATAATACTGTATACAGTTACCGGCTTGTTATTTGATTCAATTTTGACTTAACCTAACTTTTTGTCCTAGAGAACTTTTTAATGAGGTTATTCAGTCCTGCCGAGATGCTTTGCCTTTTTTAAGCTATGAATATTGTCGTAAGTTCATTTAAAATGTTAGTGCGTGAGCATGTGCGTGTGTGCAACGTTGCGTGAATTACAGTTCTGATTTGACATTGTAAACATGACGACTTGACCTTACAATGGCAAGTTGGACGACCTTGACTTTGGCAAGTATACAATGACCGAGTAATCGCTTTTGTTGAATAGAATCAACTTTCTATGTATATTTTTCATAATTTAATTAATAAAATTTCATGTTGTAGATCAATTCTTTACATAATATGACCTTCAACTTGTAGCAAGCAACAGTTGCAAATGACGATCAATTTTTTTGTTATAAAAACGTAATAAAATTATTATTTTTTGTTGCTATTGTAATAAACATACGTCAAACATTGCAATATATATCTATATTTGTAAAAAAAAAGTAAAAATTTATCGCTTCATATTTAAATTTTTATTTTATGACATATTATTAATGTTGCTTGCTTTAAAGCTTAATATTTATGATTTTAAAACAATTTAAATTATTTTATACATATATTTTTTTAATTGCATTTACATTATTTACAATATTTTAAATTTTTTACTATTTTATTTTTTGAAAAATGAAGAATACTTTAAATAATCTTTAAATAAAATATAAAAATTAAAAATTATAATTTTAATTTTTTTTGTTATAGGTAACTTATAAGCATATTTGCTGTGGCACTGAAGTAATTACATTGGCACAAATGTTTCGGTGAGACATTTAATATATGTTTAATTTTATGATAAATTATCTTAATATTGACATTATTGATATATCATATAATGTTTTGTATTTATTTCATTAATTGTCTTTGATTAAAATATTAATATTTGATTTTGATAAAATTTTCATGCAAATTATAATTTCATATTGATTTCTTTAAAAATTTCATAATAATAATTTGTAATGATATAGAAATAATATATGATATAATTGTTTATGTATGTTTTATTATTTATATTAAAAGAAGATAAATTATTTTATTAAAATCATATAATTGTGATCTAATATAAAATATATGTTAATGTGTGAAGTTATTAAAATAACAAAAAAATCAAAAAAGTAGTTTATAGTTTTGTCTAATATATTATTTTATTTTCTGTTTAAAAACATTTTTCTTTTATATGATACTAATATTGATTATACTTATCAAAAATATACATTAAATCATTATTCAATTAACAACTGAAAATTTTTTACATTTATAATATATTATTATAAATTAAATATTTTATGAAGAAGGAGCACGAAAGACTGAAATATGGTCGTGTTCTTAATTAAATTTTTTAATTTTTATTTATAATTAATTTATATATTATTATATATAAATTCAATAATGAATTCATTATTTTTCGTTTTTTTTTAAATATTTAAAGAAACTATTTTTTAATATTTTTTAAAAGTATTTTTATTTTGCTATTTTAATATTATCTTCAATATTATTTTCATGTATAATTAATTTAATTTGAAGATAAAAACAATATATTGAATTACAAAAAATAATATTGAATTTTTTCAATTTAACATATAAAATATAGTAACCATCTTTATCGACAGTATGGTTTCTAATTGTTGATTCTTTGAATCTTGTAATTTCTACCGCTAGATAACGTTCGTAGTTTTCTGCTTTTTCAAACGCTTTTTTTGTAATTGTGTTTCAGTACCGTTCTTAAAATTGTTTTAAATTAGTTCGTTTGTTATTACGAAGAAGTGTTGTAAATATCCATAATATATTTTTTACTTCAAGTAGAAGCATATGGAAATGGAAATTTCATTGTTCAAAGCTTTCAGATATATTAGACAGCTGTAACGTAAGTACAAAGTAATATTCAAAAAATCAATTATAAATTTGAAACAAAATCGTATTATATTTTTACATAAATAATTTTTATTTTTCTATTTATCAAAAAAATCATACGATTTTGTTTATTCAAATTAGGTTATGGAAAAAATAAATTAAAATATTATTTAAACTATTTTATTAAGGTTAATAAAAAAACAAAACTTATTATTAATTATTATTAAATAATTATTATTAAATAGCATACAATTATTGGTATTATGTTGAAAGATATTATTGGAAAATGTCGATATATAAATATCATTTATTGAATAGTTATAACCTTTGCTTTTTTATAAATTGCAAATTCGAATAACTGTCATGGACGATTACTACGCGATTCAATGTAACTGCAAATATCTATCATATCTATCAAGAATATTTCATTGAATCATTTATCACAGATTCTTTAAAAACAAGGATTTTCAAATTTAGAAATAAATTCTAAATATTGAAATAATGTGAAAGTTATTTTGGCCTTTTTATCTGTTTCCTCTGTTAATATCACGTAAAGATGTTTATATGGATTTCACTTTTCTCAAGCCAAACCAATTTCTCTGAGTTGTCTGTTCATTTCTGCGATGGTCATTGCCTTTTACTTTCGTGTCAACTTATTTCGCATATAGTGACATTAAATGATATTCATCATGGTTAATGATATAACGAGTATAAGCTATATTGCATTTAAGATTATATGTATATATATATTTCAAGATTGGTTTTCTTATTGTTTTTCATTCAAATTTTATTTCAATTTTATAATTTACAATCTTTTTAGAAAATTTTTAGAAGTCATTTCGTTTTTTAATACGAAATATTTCACTTTAATTGATAATATAGTATTTTCATGATATTATCGGACGAGATTTCACCCAAACACGTGAATTAACAGAATGAATGCATTCGCAAAATGGTAATTTCGAATTACGAACACTATTGTCGGAGATTCGCTGACGCATACAATGGCACAAAAGCGGTGCGCGCGGACGCTTAACCAATTTCCGCTTGTTTTAACTAAAATCGAGGTCGTGGAGCCGTTAAGCGTCAAGGATCACTTACGATCATCAAGTCAAGATTCTACATACGTGTATGACTCATGAAACTCTTTTATCTCAACTATGATTCTTTCCATATGCGTCCTCGTCATTATACGAGCACGCGAGCATATGACTACGTTTAAATAATGTTCCATTGTTACAATATCACCTTCTTCGCTCATTCGACCAAGTTTCGACTCGTTTTCGCAATTTTTATGCTTACTGAAGGGCATATAAAATTTTTACGTTTGTAAATATAAGAGCGAGCAGAAATGAGATTTTTTTTTCATTTATTTTAATTATATTTTAGATTGAACGATAATTTTATTCATTTGTTTGAAAAGTAATTTTTTTTTTTAAATTTAATTTAAAAAAGAATTATAATTGATTATTCATTTTTGATTGATTTCTGATTTTCATATCTAAGATTAACAATTGTTACGAATTTATCATTTTTTAAATATAATATAATAAAATAATAATAATACAAGGTATAATAGTAACGTAATGGTAACAAAATATATATAGTATAATGGTAAATAAATAAAATAAAGTAAATAAAAGTAAAAAAAATATAGACACAGTAGTTACATGATGTTATGTAGAAGGTTAAATTACAATTTCTGCGAAGAAATTAAATTGTGTAATATGTTCGTTCATCTTTCAGAGTTATATGCATTTCATCATAAAAATTTTACTTATGTCAGTATTAGACAAACATACTGAAGGAAAGAATGTCAGAGTCTTAAGTAACTTTCATTATTTAATTTTTTTTTATATATTTTTTCAACAAAAAATGAAAATGATAATTAAGTATCATGGTATAGAATTTAAGTTTTTATTTATAAAAATTATAACTTTTCTTTCTTGCAAAATATCATTATATACCCGATTTAGAGAAAGTTAAATTTTAAGTTTTTTTTTTTTTTTTTAATTATAAATGTTTCTTTTTACACAAACAATCTTATTTAAACAATATAAGAAATGTGTAAATTGTTCTTTATTTTACGAAATTAAAAGTTTTCTGAAAATTCATTAAAAATTTTAATTTTTGAAAGAATAATCTGTTTACTGAGGATAAAAGAGGAAAATAAATTGTTTATTACTAGCTTTTTAGGGGAAGGAAACGCGATTATATTATTCAGATTACACGTGTATCATGTAACTTTTTCATTATTATGTAAATTTTTCATTATTTATTTTGCATTTGTATGTTTATTTAAAGTTTAAGTAAAAGAAAAGTTAAAAGTTATTCCATAAATGATTAAAAAACAATGATTAAATGTTCCACTTTTTATAAATATCCAATGTATAACGTATTGGATTAAAAAGTAGTTATCAATGGTTATAGAAAACTCTTTGCACTTTTATGTAAAAA